TAGAAGTTTCCCCTATTCAGGTTAATTTCTCCTTGTTAAGAGATAGTTGCCTTGATCCCTTATCCAGTCTTGTCTCTGCATTCATCATTTACAGACGGCATTGTGTGAATAGGTAATGGAGGTTAGGGGTACAGTCAAAACTTTGCTAAGGCCCTAACTGGTTCAGCTCAGTGGATAGAGTGTTGGTCTGCAGACTGAAGGGTCCTACGTTAGATAGCAGCTCTGCGGACAGCCAGGGTCAAGGCTGGGGCGGCGGGGGGCACGGGAGCACTGCGGCGTGCAGGGGGGAGGCGAGCGCTGCCAGCGCTGCCAGGGGACGGGGCGCGGGTACCGGCAGCGTCCGCGGACACCGTGGGGATGGAGGGATGCCGAGGGCCGGGGGTCATTAGAGAGCGCGCGTTGGTGGGGAGGGCTCCTGGCGTGGTGCTGCTGAAGATCCTCCAGTCATTGCAGCTGTCCCCTTTGCAAGGCTGGAGGGGAAGGCGGAGAACATAGAGTTGAATTCCTCTCTGCCCATTCAAACCGCTAGGACGGCCCTTGGTTTTTCTGGGGGAAGGACGTGAAGGTGGTGGGCGAAGTACCTGCTGCTGTGGGCAAAGGTGTCTGGAAGTGGGTGCCATGGGAGGTTGGGGGCAGGGAGCGTGCAATGCTGTAAGTTGACAGAGAGCCTTCTTGCTGTTGGCCTAACATGCACCCTCTCTTGTCTTCATTAGAAAGGACCTGGCTTGCTGGAAGGGGGTGCCACGGGTAAACGTGGGGAAATAATTATTGGGGGAAAGAAAGGGAGGTGAAAAACATGACATGGAAGAAGCACATTTGTAAGGGTCTGGTGGGAATTAAGTTAATGTTGAGGCATCTGATAGGTCTCCCCTTCTGCAATGAAGGTGAAACAATTTATGGTTTGGAAATGAAGAATGCAGAAGAGGTTTAAATATTCCAGTGTTAGCAGAAGTTTAAGGTTGTTTGTGGTTTGTTTTTTTTTTTTTTTTGGGGGGGGGGGTTGATGCATCAGACACTGGCAAGAATATAATTCTCATTTCAGCACGGAAAATGTTATTAAAATATGGCTAGGAAGATTAGTTGGAAGAGTCTAACTATACTTGCTACTTCATTTTATATAATGTTACCTAGAATATCTGCAGTCAGAAATCATCTTTGGGTAATAAACATTAGTATCAAGCAAGGAGGAAAGCCAAAAAGCAAATTTAAATCCATATACATCCTTTTGGGGGGTAAAAGCTTGCAAATTAGTGTGTATAAATAAAAACAGTGCATTTAGAGGGTGAAACTCTTTGATGATAATTTTTTCTTTTATCTCTGTCAATTTTTAATACTTAAAATTATCTTCCCTTTAATTAGTCTTATTGTTTATGGAAAATATGCACGCAAATTTAAAACAATCTAAAAATGAAAAAAGAAAACAAAAATTAATTCAAATTTAATAGCATCAGAAACCATTTTAACACCGTGTTGAACTTCCTTCCAGATATCTTACTAAGCATGATTGATGTACTGTGCAAGTCAATATCATTTTACAATTTTGTGTAATTATAGAATCAGAAATATTACATCTTTTATTCCTCAGTACTATATTATTTCCTACCATTATTTAAATTAACTTTTACTGCTAAATCAGCACAAAATATATAGTGACATATAACCACCTAGGAATGAGCAATGAGGATTTGATGTACAAATGTCTATTGGTTAGTAATGATTTTACTCCTTAAATAGGCATATAGTTAATCATTTGCTTCATACATGTAAATGTTTTTTTGTTCTTTCTTGTAGATCCACCTCCTGAAATTTAACGTTTCACGATGAAGTTTTTACCGGCGATTGCCTTTTTTATTTTAATTTCCTTGTGGGTTGAAGAAGCCTATTCTAAAGAGAAGTCTTCAAAGAAGGGGAAAGGGAAAAAGAAGCAGTATCTATGCCCATCGTACGTTCTTTCTGCCTTATACTCTCATATGGAGAGATGTTATTGCATTTTTTTTTATCCAAGTAAGGTTGCTTATTGAAACACATATCAGCAGAACCTTTCATATCAGAATACGCACTAATTTGCCAATGTCCCCTATCTTTCGTTAACTCCCACCTTAGTGGTCTTGTCCAAATCTATGACTTTAAATATCATTTATTTACTGTTGACTCCTAAACCTATGTCTGGCCCAGACTTTCTGAAGAACATCACACCCATACATTTAACATTTGAATCTGACTGTCTCTTAATGACCTCAAACTCAACTCAAACCCTGTTATCTCCTTTGGGAAGCTTTTCCTAATTCTGTTAGTCTGATTGAGATAAACACACTCTCTGCCTTTATAGTACCCTAATTGCCTATCATATTATAAATACAGTTTCCCCTCTAGATTGAAAGCTCTTTGAGAGCAGGATTTTATTGACTCAATCACTAAAGAGCAGCATAACACACATACACACACAAAATAAAAATTTGTTTAAAGAGTGAATAACAACCTAAAGATCATTGGCTTTTATAAGTCATTAAATCTGGATTGGTGAAGGCACTTAAAAATAATTTATATGATCCCTATGGACAATATTTAGAAATATGGTCCCAATTTTACAACTAGATGAGTTAATAACTGGGTAATTAGTAGAACATCTTCAACCTGGCTGATGTTTCCTGGTGACATTTTGGCCTTATTGTGTTCAACATTTTATCAATGACTAAAATAAGACCATACATAGGAAACACTCATCCAGACTGAAGATAGTATGCATACCCATATATTCAGAAATGAATTTTCTGAATCATAGGGTACAAGTATATTGAACTCTAGGAGATATGGGTAGTTTTCCAGCTCTACTCCCCCATCATTCATGTGTGAGAGTTCCAGTTGCTTCACATCCTTGTCAAAACTTGATATTATCAGCAATCATTTGAATTTTAGCTATCTGATATGGGTATAAGATATCACATTGTGATTTTAATTTGCATTTGCCTGATGATTAACGTTTCTGAGCACCTTTTCTTAAGTATATGGGACTTTTAGTTATAAGTCTTTTGCAAAATGCTCACTTTTTAAAATTGTTTTCCCACCTTTTAAAAAATCTGTCCATTTTTTTATTATTGCTATGTAGAAGTTATTTATACATTCATGAGAGAGTTCTTTGTCAGATGTATATACTATAGCTCTCTTTCCAATTTTTGGTATGCGTTTTAACTTACTTAACAGTGTCTTTTGATGACCTTAAGTAATTATTTTTAATGAAGTCTGAGTCTAATTTGATTTATTAATATTTTTTAATGCTTTTGTGTTTTATTTAAGAAATACCTCTCTACTCCAGGGTCATGAAGATAATCTCCTTTTTTCCCCCTTAGATGCTTTATTGTCTTTACTTTCACATTCAGTTCTGTAATCCATTTCAATTTATTTTTTTGTGTATGATGTGGGATTGGGTCAGGACTCATTTTTAAAAGCAGCACATTGATTGAAAGGCCATTGTGTCTTTCAATGCAGTTGTGTCTTTGTTGTAAACCAGTTGCTTGTTTCTCCATCCTGTCCCACTGGTTTATTACTATGTACCTTGTGTCAGTAACACACTTTCTAATTACTATAGCAGAATGCCTGCATGTCCTCTAGCTTTGTTCTCTAGACGTACCATAGCCCTTTTAGGTCCTTTGTGTTTCCTTATCAATTTTAGAATCAGCTATTCTACTTGCATATGTATAGACACAAAATGCTGGGATTTTTATTGACATTGTTTTGTTAACTTAAAATAAGAAGCCAAAGTGAGAGGCACCATTGTTTATTTGAGGTCACAAAAGTGCAACTCGGGGGCATAGATTTAAGCAGAAACCAAAATTGTGCTCTGATTACAGAGGAAAGGACTTTTTGTGAGAAAATGAAAAGAAACAATTGCATGCGTAGATGAAAGGAATTTCCATTGGTGTTCACACACTGAGTTACTTTTTAGCTATATGTGACTGGTTACTGATTCTGTCTTCAGAGAGAATGTCCATAATCAACAGTTCTTGTGGTTGGGATGCCTGCTTTCCTGCTAGTTTTACAAATAATTCTTTATAAGACAATGTTGCCTTGGCCCAGTGCAAAGGTCACTTCACCTAGTTCAACCATTCCAAAGGTTCATGGAGCAAGACTTGTAAGAAAGTCCTCTGGAATGGCTATTCTAGGTCTATTTTAAAATGGCTTCACTTATGTCAACTTTTCATAAAATAGACTCAATTTTGTTTCTAATTTGTATTCAAACATTAAATTAAACAGTAAACAAGAAAAACAACCACACATGGGAAAAAAAGACAGAGCAAACAAACTCCTTAGGAATGAAGATATTTACCATGACATTGGAATAACCACATTTTCATAAATGTGGCTAGCCCTGGGATAATAGTTTGTTTTTTTGTTTTTAAAAACCATATCAAATACAAACCATTGCACTGAGTAGAATTCTTTAAAGAATGGGAACTAGGGATTTTTTATTTTTATTCTTATCCTGTGGCCAATTACTCCATGAACCAGAGGTTGAGCTCCATCGGATGTAAGTGTTTTTGTGTTTTATTTGCTGGTATTTTCCCAGGACCTTAAAAAAAAAAAAAAGCCGGCGGTGGCAGGCACTTGTTAAATATTTGTTGAATGACTCATTGAATATTTATGGAATACTACATGTGTAGTATATTCAGAATTTGTGGTTCTAGTTAAGTATGAATTTTGTCAGGGGGAAATAGTTTCAACTCTTGAAAATTTACATTCAAGGAGCCTCTTTTTCCCCCTGAAAAAGAATGCCAACAAAATACAGGTGATAGAAGTTATCAGTCATGTCAATCATTTGGTAAGTACTGGATATGATATCATCATACCTTTACAAATACATTTTAAAATTAGTCACATTTGTTTCTGGGTGCCTTTAAGGTTCTGAATTGTTTTAAAATATGGTGCAGTATATTTTCTTTTATTTTCTAGGTGTTCATGTAAGAACTCTTACATTTTGGCAGCTATACAAGAAACTTGTTCTGGATTGTTAGCTTGACACTTTTAAGGAGGACAGGGAAACTGTCTGACTCAATTTTGCATGGGGGCATATGATCCTGCCTATATTGCCACCTCCCTCTATTCCAGTGGTTCTCAACCTTCCTAATGCCGCGACCCTTTAATACAGTTCCTCATGTTGTGGTGACCCCCAATTTCATTGTTACAAATTGAACATAATTAAAGCATAGTGATTAATCACAAAAACAATATGTAATTATATATGTGTTTTCCGATGGTCTTAGGCGACCCCTGTGAAAGGGTCGTTCGACCCCCAAAGGGGTCACGACCTACAGGTTGAGAATGGCTGCTCTATTCCTTTTCCTCCCTAGAGTGAATGAGCGAGCTCTCCCGAATCTAAGGCTGGTTTTTTCACCCATCATTTAGATCTCTTTGACTCCTATTTTGGGGGAGGGGAGAATCTGAAATTGGGATTAACTTTTTCTCACTCAACTGCATCTTTTGTAATCCACTCAAGTTTTACAGTATGGACTACAGTATAGAAAAATGCAATATGTCTCCGAAACCCACCTGTCTGTAGCCATTTTTTTTCCTTGCTAGAGTTTTCATGTTAAGGGGGTAAAAATTTATTAATATGTAAAGTTTAAGTACTTCGGAGCTGTATCCAATGCCAATTTGTCCTGCTGGTGTTTACTTATCTCTTTATGTGCCAGATTCTCCTTAGAAGAAAGCCAAGAAATTAAATTTTGTTTCCAAACAATAACTTTGTAAATAGTTCAAGGAAACAGCCCTCCCCCCAAAAAAAGTAGCAAACTAATTTAACTATTTTTTTTCTAAATGAAATTGAGCTATAACTTCACTTAAAACTCACTGTATATATACATACAGTATGACTTTTCTTTTTTGAGTGTTGTCACTGCATGTTGTTTTTTAAATTTAAACATTTTATTGTGGTATGAATACTTAACATGAGATCTGCCCTCTTCACAGATTTTTTTATTAGATGTTATAATGTTGTTTTCTGTAGGTACAATATTGTACAGAAAATCTCTAGAACTTATTCATCTTTGCATCAGTGAAATTTTACCTGTTAATTAACAATTCCCCATAGCCTCCTCACTCCATCAACCACCATTGTATTCTCTGTTTCTCTGAGTTTGACTATTTTAGACTCTTCATATAAGGAGGATCATGCAATATTTGTGCTTCTGTGACTGATTTATTTTACTTAGCATAAGGCCCTCAGGGTTTATCCATTATGTTGCATATGGCAAGATTTCCTTTTTTAAGGGTAAATACGACTCCATTGTATGAATATACCTTTTTTTTTTTAAAAAAAAAAAAAGCCAGTTATCTGTCAATGGACTTGTAGGCTGTTTCCACATGTGAGTGGCTATTATTAATCTTATGACCATGGCTGGTGCAGATACAGGGAGGAACTGGGTTTTACAGTCCAATTATTATGCACTGAGGGGGTGGGGTGGAGCTATGGTGAACTCTGCTTATTCCAACAACAGCTTGGTTCTCTGTAGTCCCCAAGGGACTGGCATATACTGGGCCCCATTATTGCTCTGGGACAGGGGAAATAGAACCCAGTATCTAGGGTAGCATCTAGGAAAGCTGGGATGTTACATGTGGGGTAAGACCTTTTCCTGCTCAGGGAGAAGCTGGGAGCTCTGGATGGTATAGGGGTATGCTGCTCTGGGGTGCGGTTTATGGTAAGAGTGTGTCCCCACTTTCCCTCCTAGTTTCATTGCAGCTGGTTGGGTGTAGAAGCCTCTCAACTAGTTCCTGGACTTCTGACAAAGGGAATGGTGTGTCCATGGGGGAAAGGAGGGTCCAGGCTTCCTATTCCATCTTGTTAAAGTTGCTCCCAGTCAAACTTTTCAATAGGTGTACTCCCTCATTCAATTTCCTTTCCTACTGCTCTCTGTTCTATCCACGCCCATCTATCTGGGTTCAATCTCT